GCGCAGTTCCCATTAGATGAGAACCGGTAATCATTTATTAATAATTTAATTATTACAAAACGTAAATGTAAAGCTATCATGGTACTTTTAATTAGTTGTATAAAGTTAAATTTGAAAAATTACATTCCAAAATATTTTACATTGAGCTTAAATGAAAAGTTATTTAAAATATGAGATTATATTAAGAAGAGCCACCCAATCACCCGAGATTTATTCGATAAAATTCCAAGGTACAGCAAAGGTGCTCTAGTAGCATCCCAAAAAATGTTCTAAGCATTATCAGTTCTGGGATGAAATAATACCAGTTTTAAAATCAATTGTATTTGAAAAAATCGTAAAGGATCGTGATGGTACAGAAATAGTTAAGTATGCAACACAAATACACACAATATAAATACATTCAAGGAATTATGGAAGTACAAAAATGAACGACTTAAGTCTGCTGGTCAAGCAATAATTAATACCATGCCGGTCTGTTAGAGTTTTATATGTTATGTTACTGGCAGGCAACACTTTACAGGAAGGATGATTTGAATATTGGAACGATGTATTTAAATTTTATAAAGAATTGTATTTTGATATTTGTACATAGACTTCTACACGACACGTACCCGGCAACATATGTAAACATTAGACTTTAGTAAATATAATATGTGACTGGTTTAATTATGAGAATATACCAGTTGAATATGTGAATAGAGTGTTTCAATAGACCTCCATCTCCAGAGTCCGGGACGGTGACAAGCAACCGTCCAACATGGCCGCCAAGAAAGCAATAGAAAATATTTGTAATTAAAAAGAAGGAACGTAATTCGAATGTAAGAGAAAAATGTGACGCAAGCGTAAAAGAAAATGTAATGTAAAAAATGTTACATTTTAATTGTGTCAAATGCAATTTCATGAATAATTTAATTTGTGGTTTTATCAATAAATAAAGAATTATCAATGGTACTAGTTTACATTATTCATGATCCAAACGAACCGGATTTAAGAAACAGCAACTATATCAAAAGAAGGTAACAAATTGCATTCCAATAGTTTTGGATTTATCAATATAACGCAATAGAAGAAAGGCGCATTAGTTTTGCGCGCAATAACATTGGCGTCCCGGGTCCCGGCAGTCGCGAGGCGACGCAGGCGTGACGGGGCAAGAAGGCGAGGGCGGCGGAGGGCAACGCATCACGCGTGGTGACGTCATCATCGGGTTCGCGCCGATTTGTAACTATTCACAAATGATGTAAGTGATTTTATTTTAGAAAAAATTATAAGTGCCCTTTTATTAAATAAGAACTTCAAGATTTTACTTCAGTGATTTAGTTTAAAATGTTTTTTGTTTTTTATAGCTAATATTTTGTTCATAATGTCTTTGGCTGAGTTATTAAAAATTCAATTTAGTTACAACGTTCAAAAGATGTACCATTTAAAGGGTTATCTTTCGGTTGAAGCATAAAAACTTCTTGAGCATATCCTATAATATCGGGTAATTATCATGAGTTTTGGATCAAATTAAACGAGCGGTACAAGACATATTTAGCAATAGTATTTTGAAGAGTTTTATGAATCAACCCAGCGATTGATTATCTGTAATAATCTTTGTACAATGCATTGGATGTGATTACATCTTTTTACAATATATTGTTTTGACCAACACATCTGAGAAAATAAGCTATCATCATATTTTTTTCATCTAGCAAGCTAGCATCTGGGATAAAGGATCTAAAACGTTATATTATGGCGTAAATATTGAAGCAACTACTTAGTTCCGAGAACACATAGTTAAGTACAAAACAAGCTTTGTTTGGTGGTTTGGGAATGTACAACAAGCAGCCCGCGACGGATGTTCTCCTACGTCAATCATCTCAATTGGATTTGCATCTTTTATAAAGAGCCAGTTTCGACCAGGCATCGCGTTATATCGAACAGAGCTGTCGCCGTGATGGACGGCACCGTCAAATTAATTATTTTTACCACAATAATAACGATTGTGAAGGTATGTACTCTTATGTTTTATATTTATATATGGGAATGGAGGTGAAATGGAGAATATAATATATCTAGCTTTTTCAAACTAAAATATGTCGCCAATTATACCAAAACGGACAAGTGCTCATGGGGTATCTCATGAAAACTTCTAAACATTTTCAGTGCTGGGATGAAACAATGCCAGTTTTATAATCAATTTCATTTAAACAGATCACAAATCTTGATGGCACAGAGACAACCATATGAAGAATTAATAAAAGTTATATTCCAGGCGCCGCCACCGGGAACGTTTTTTTGGAAACCTAGATTGGGTCTAGATCTGTCAATACCAACAACACGTATGTATCGTCATCATATAAAATAACCCTTTGTCTTTTCGGGAATTTACAAAAATTCGAACCTTGAATGGAACGCCGACACCGAATAACCATACGAAAAAGTCGTAACAAATTAATTATCAAGCAAAAGTGTTAGCAAACAGCCACGCGTTTATTTAAATTCGACTACCATGACTGTAACTACCAATACTGGAACTAGACATAGAAGTCGAGGAATTGTAAATAGCCTATAGAGACTCTCATCCTCCCAATAGTCACGTAGCAATTTTAGTTCATTTTTGTACTATCTGATATCTATTTAAAGCTGAATTTACTTGTAAATATTTTGATTCCATTTGTTTACAGCGAAGATACGTAAGCCGACCCTGGGCGGCGTCTTGAAGCCCACCGTTTGGCAGATTAAAAATAGCCGTGCGGTTATCATTACTGGATACCAATTGGGGGTGACGATAGTTGCCCTTGCCCACGGACAAGCCGCCTGGGAGAAATTCCCTCACCTCAACCCTTTCAAAGCTTGGTTCTACACCACGGCCTACAGATGGGCTTTGAGACATCTCTCTTTGTGAGTCAATCAATGATTTGTTTGAAATTGCTTTTTTGTAACCTCATTTCATTTTAATAAAAAAAAATAATTTTTACGAGAGATAGAATTATTTTTTTTTTACTATCAAAAAATCGAAGAATAAAACAAATTAACTTTGATTTCACTACTGAAAAAAGTCAATGAGATTCACCTGTATGTTGTCAGGTACCCCAAGTGGCTCGAGGGGGGAGGCTACAGCTACATAGACACGCACCGCGTCTGGAGGAAGCGCTACTCGTATCAGGACCGGTGGGTGCCCGAATGGCTGCAATGGTTCCTGCCGCACGTATGGGAGTTCGACCGCGAGAAAAAGCAGTACAGAAGATTCCAGAGATACGTCTTGCCCTCCTTCGCCAAACACTTCCACTACCCGGGACGCAAGTTTGACAACTGGGCCTCCGAGGACAGCACCGAGACAGTTGAAAATCTCGATATATCCGACTTCTCCATACATAAGGACGCTCCTGATTACTGAATATGTATTTATATGATGTTAGCTTTTTTAACTTGGACTTTTAAAACAAGCAGTTCTACTAATGCGAATACAGATGCCTACTTTAACAATCTAAAATTGGATTAAAGATACAGTTAAATTTCTCGCAAAAGTGTGTAAATGACGTGTAAGGATAGAAATAGTGTTAAGGATTGGTCTTCGTGCGAACGACGATAACAAGGAGTAGGTACGCGATCGTTGAAGATCACGCAATCAGTGGAAAAGAGGGCAAGAAGATGCAGAGCATATTTCGATATATTCATATGGGAAAGTATCGAACGTCTTATATTTTTTATTTCATTTTGACAATTGTATTTTATATGTCAAATAATTAAAATAAGTAAATATTCATAGGAAAATATGGTAATTGGCTAAAATCGAGGTGCTTCATTTCCCTCTTAGCATAATTATACGAAGCCCTTCTACAGGGCTGATTTTTGGAAAAACGTACTTGTTAAAAAAAGTCTAATGTCCCGTGACTCCAAATTGTGTGTGTTGGCGATTTAATTAGCCTTTTTTTTCTTTATAGATTTTTATAATTAGAATATAAGTTTAAAAAGTATGTGTTCCGCCCGTCTTTGGTCCATAAAAAGTAGATTTGTAATAAATGCGGTAACGGTCAACAAGAAATGCAAATAGGTAGGTTACCTACATATTCAGGCCGGAGTCGCGGACGTAAGCAAAAGCGTGCCCGTTGCCCCGGCCTGTTGCGTTAGAGAAACCGAGGGGTTTAGTGGGTATACCCCCATTATGGGGGATGTTTAAGTTTCTGGCAACTAGCGACGTGATACAAAAAAAGAATAAAAGTTTATGAAAAATAGAACGAATATCAGAGAGTCTTAGTTTTTTATGTAAAATTATTTCTTTTCCTATAATGTATTATTAGTAAGAAATAAAGTTTTTTACTACTTTCCACAAACTATTTCCATTGCCCACAAGCGCATACAACTGCAAATACATTTACCGGGGAGAGTCCCACATAACTACCGCGTTCCTGGCGCAGAGTATGCGTAAGGCATTCCCCTCGGGCAAAAAAAAGGTAACTTCATATTAAGAAGTAAAAGATTAGCATGGTATAGTCAGGTTACCTAAATGAATTACATTTCGTATTTACGATATAGACATTGAACAACTTGTAACATAACTTTTGGGAATTCATACACGCCTGCAGAGGAAAATGGATGAGAATGTAATGCTATTTCTTACAAACATCCCAGATATATTGTCATATCGCAGATGAATGAAAATAATAAAAACAACGAAAACGAAAAAATATTTAAATATTTAGATCTGACTCACGAGGTTACCGCCATGTGGCGTATGAAATTGACTACCATTATTCCGATAGTCATTTCGGTGCACGGGCTAATAATAATAATAATAACGTTTAAATTAATCCGACATTACCATTACCTCCCGCAATTACAGTTCTGATAAAGACGACAGCAGCTATTAAATAATATTCCTTAACCCCTATAATCTCCAATGTTAAAGTACATAGCCAAGACATTGCTTTGTAAAAAGGAAAAAATGCTTCCAACTTCCAATACGAAACTGCGCAGGATTTTAATTTCGTTGTTTTAGATTGTAGAGAAATTACAAAGTTACAATAATGATAAGACCATTGTGCTTACGAGACTACGGAGTTCAGCGATTCAGCTAAATGTAACTTTTGTCAACCTTGACTTTGAAATAAAATTTGTACTTGCGCCGTGTTCCAAGAAGACCACAAACCGTTGATATCTCCGAGCTAATATGTGGTTGTTTGGAGGTCGACATCTTACGTTTTTTCAATTTCATAACCTTAAAAAGATTAAAATTCCCATTAATTATAAATTCTGGCTCATAAAAAAAGCTAAACTATTACCATATTTTTTGGTGTATTTTTCGAACAGAAGTGACGCTGGTGAAGACTTCACATATCATATTACTATACAAGGGAGTGAGGGACGCATCAGTGTTAGTGGGAGGGGGACTCGTCGGCAAACTTTCAACACACGTATAAGTAATGTAATGTCGTAGGTAAAATGAATTGCAAGCTAATTTGTTACATGCATTAAATAATAAAAACGCAAACCTGGCTTTCATTTATTGTTTCCCTCGTTAAACAGCGCTAACTGCCGAAAGCGCGGTAAAGCAATCTAAACATTTTCTTTTTTTTTGCTTATTGGATATCACTTTTGATTGTATTTAAATCCTTTACTTATTTAATTAAAAATAATACATAACATTTTATTCTTAATCTTAATATGAAATAAAATCACATTTTGCTGTAATTCGACATCGTTCCACTTTTGAAATTGGAATCATTCCTTTTAAAATTTAATGGCTTCAATGATTAAAACTATTTTGTAAAGAGGTTGGTAATTAATATTTAAAGTCACATAAAACCTTTGTAGTTTCGAGTTTTTACAGAAATCCTTATTTGGCGGTTAGTTCAATACTGCTGGACTGCACAGAAATATTGTTGTATGCGGTAACAGATTAATGGTTCACAAAGAAAACAACAAAAACAACGGTTGATAATGTTTAGGACGTTGCCGTACGAACTTACAACACCCGAGGCGAGAGACAGACTAATTCGAAATTTGCTTTCGCAGTGGAAGTCAGCCCAGCGCGTACGCCTCGCGATCTCTTTCTTTCTCTCTCTCTCTCACCTCCGCTGTTTACGCCACACTTGTATTAAATTGTCCTTTTTACATATTTTTAAATTTGCTATCCGTTAGGAGAGTTTATTGGTTAAGCCGGTGTTAGGAATGCTAAATGAAACATCATTATTTGTGTGATCACAAACTTTATTACGACTACGTTCGATACATAGTGAGTGATAAAACATAGTTCTGCACTTCTACTGACAGACAATAAGAGTATACATGTAATTTATATTTATTACGTAGACTTTTTTGAATCTATTATCGATTTGAATTTGATATTAACACGAACAGTGAACTTGAACAATAAAATTTAATATAATATATGTACTTCTACCACCACTTTTACTACCCCTACTTTATGGTTAATAATATTTTTGATTACGTGTATATAGTTAATGACAAAATGTGAATATATTTTACTAATATAATTAGACTTAGAGTAAACGAGTACGAGTATTATACTTGTTAAGAAGTTAGTTGTTATATACAGATGTCAAATCAAAGAAGAAAGTGGGCTGCTATGTACACTTGCCTTACGCCGTTGTTAATACTTCGGTTCATAATAACTAGTTGATCCCTCTTACCATACACAGCTCGCCTCTTACGATGCATTGCAGTTGCACGCCGCGCCCGACTTCAGAATACCTCAATACGTATACAGATGTGTACAGTACAGTAATAAAAGCTACGTTAAATCGCTGTGAACGTACTGTCTCATAATACATGCATTATTTGTAAAAAGAATAGTTAAGAATAGTTAGTTAATATTGCAGAATAATCTTATTGATATTAATTGTGTCAAATAGACATTCAGGTTCTTCGTTCGAACCGAGGTTTAGGTTCTGTTGTTACGGTGAACGGAATTGAGGCGACGTCTCCGCGTGAGATTGTATCACACGATAGTGCCCTG